TTGATAATTTTGGATAGAGTCTTACATCAACTTATTACTCTGAAAAGTAGTAACTAACTAAAAGGAATAAACATTTACCATGTCTTTTTTTTTTAAGGATTAACAGTCATTCGCCCACAGTTGATGAGGAAAAGCTCTTATTTATAGAAGAATCTCAGCACACATAGTAGAAGGAATGAAAAAACTGGAAATATCACCAGTTTGCAACTGCAATGATATAATGGATTCAAGTAAGGGACATCAATGGATGTTAAAACCATTAGGAGTCAGGTTGTTAAGAAACAGGTACGTGCTTAGTTCCAAGCATTAGCCCGCACATTCCTTGCTAGTAACATAGGAAAATACTGTATCTTTACAATGGGGAGAGCCGGAAGTCACCTAACCAAGACATCAAACCTTGCAACATTCATAGGGAAACAGCCTCACATTACAAGACTTCTGATGATGCAATACGAAGAACAAAGCATGAACTATAAAACATTTCTACCAAAAAAAATAAATTATCTGAATCTACTTAAGCATTCCCACCCAAATTTCTTTATAAAAAATATAGTGGAGAAAGACAAATTAAATGACACAAAGAGAAAATAATCAGGCAATTCCAGAACGTGAGACATTTTACAAAAAGTCGTGAAAAGAAATGTGTGGGTAATGTTCCAGATGAAAGGGATTAGAGGGATTATAAACATAAAATGAAATACAATGAGCCACATTGATTGGATCCTGATTTGGAAAACAAATCTATAAAAGGCATTTTGGAGACACATGAAAAAATTAGACAATGAACCACCTATAAAATATATTAAGGAATTATTTCTAATTATTGTTATAATAGTATTATAGATATGAAGAAAATGTCATTGTCCATAGGAAATACATGCTGAAATATTGAAAGATGAAGTGTTCTAAGGTAAAAAAAAAAAAAAATACCTTTAAAAGATATACAAATAGAGCGCTGGGCCAGGGCCCCGGGAATGTCCGGGGCCCAGCTAGCTGAGATGCGTGCTCCGCTTCTCCCAGCTCGGCTGGTGTCTGCATGGCCTGAGACTCGCCGCGTTCCTAAATGGCCAAGCACTGGGACCAGACCGTCAAGTACTACGCCCTGGAAGAGATTCAGAAGCACAACCACAGCAAGAGCACCAGGTTGATTCTGCACCACAAGGTGTACGATTTGACCAAGTTCTTGGAGGAGCATCCTGGTGGGGAAGAAGTGTTAAAGGAACAAGCTGGAGGGGATGCTACTGAAAGTTTTGAGGATGTGGACACTCTACAGATGCTCGAGAATTGTCCAAAATGTACATCATTGGGGAACTTCATCCGCATGACAGAGCAAAGTTAACCAAGCCTTTGGAAACGCTCATTACTACTGTTGATTCTAATTCCAGCTGGTGGACCAACTGGGTGATCCCAGCCATCTCAGCAGTGCTGGTGGCTCTGATGTACCACCTCTATACAGCAGAAGATTAAACACATGCTAGGAAGTGGAGGGAAGAAAAGACTGCTTTGGACCAGGAAGAAAGAAGCCAGTGTTAACTGCTTCAACTGACAGAAACCTTCACCTGAAAAATAATTTTAACACACCTATTTCCCTTTTCTCCTACTTTGAACCGAACCAAAAAGAACTCTTCTGTTCTTTCTACTCCCGAACTCTTTGAATTGTGCCTTTTGTTCACCAACTTTTTTTGATGTTCCACCACTACATAATTTACTTATTGTAGGCATGATCTTTTAAAAAATATCTCTGGCTTTTAAAATAAAAAAAAGATACACAAATATAAAAGCAAATATAAAAATGTTTTTTATTTTAATTTCTATTTTTAAAAAATTCCGGTAGAGTTAACCTACAGGGGTATGTGAGTTCCGGGCGTACAATGCAGTGATTCAACAATCCTATACATTACTCAGTGCTCATGGTGGCAAGTGTGTATCTTTAGTCCCCTTCACCCTTTCACCCCCACTCCCACCTCTCCCTGGGAACCATCAGTTTGTTCCCTATAGTTAAGAGTCTGTTTTCTGGTTTGTCCCTTTTTGTCCCAGTTTGTTTGTTTTGTTTCTTAAATCCCACATATAACTGAAATCCTACGGTATTTGTCTTTCTCTGGCTAATTTCACAGAGCAGTAAACTGTCTAGATTCATCCATGTTGTTACAAATGGCAAGGTGTCATTTTTTTATGGCTGAGTAATAGTCCATTGTATTTAGATACCACATCTTCTTTATCCGTTCATCTATCAAGGGACACTTGGGCTGCTTCCATAATGTGACTATTGTCAATACTGCGGCAATAAACACAGGGGGTGCATATATCTTCTTGAATTAGTGTTTTTGCATTCTTTGGGTAAATACCCCGTAGTGGAGTTGCTGGATCATATGGTAATTCTATTTTTAATTTTTTGAGGAACCTCCATGCCATTCTCCACAGGGGCTACACCAGTTTGCATTCCCACCAACAGTGCACGAGGGTTCCTTCTCCTCCACATCCTCGCCAACGCTTCTCTCTTATGTTTTTTTGATGTTAGCCATTCTGACAGGTCTGGGGTGATATCTCATTGTGGTTTCGATTTGCATTTCCCTGATGGAGAACGATGTTGAGCATCTTTTCATGTGCCTGTTGGCCATCTGTAGGTCTTCCTTGGAGAAATGTCTGTTCATGTCTTTGCCCCATTTTTAATTGGATTATTTGTGGGAGGGGGGTGGTGTTGAATTGTGTAAGTTCCTTACACATTTTGGACACTACCCCTTTTATGGATATATGTTCTCCCATTCAGTAGGTTGTCTCTTAGTTTTGTTGATTGTTTCCTTTGTTGTGCAGAAGCTTTAATTTTGATGTAGCCCCAATAGTTTATTTTTGCTCTTGTTTCTCTTGCCTCAGGAGACGTATCTAGAAAAATGTTGCTATGGCCGATGTCAGAGAAATTACTGCCTGTGCTCTCTTCCCGAATTTTTGTGGTTTCAGGTCTGACATTTAGGTCTTTGACCCATTTGAGAGTAAAGGTTTTTAATCCATTGAGATTATTTTTGGGTATGGTGTAAGAAAGTGGTCCAGTTTGAATGAAACTTTTTGCATGTAGCTGTCCAGCTTTCCCAGTGCCATTTGTTGTAGAGACTGTCTTTTTCCCACTGCATATTCTTGCCTCCTTTATTGAAAATTAATTGACCCTATAACTGTGGGTTCATTTCTGGGCTCTCTATTCTGTTGATCTATGTGTCTATGTTTGTGCCACTACCACACTGTTTTGATTACTACAGCTTGGTAGTCTATCTTCATATCTGGGATTGTGATTCCTTCAGTTTTGTTCTTCTTTTTCCAGATTCCTTTGGCTATTCAGGGTCTTTTGTGGCTCCATACACATTTTAGGATTATTTGTTCTGGTCCTGTGAAAAATGCCCTTGGTTATTTGGATAGGGTTTGCATTAAATCTGTAGATCGCTTTGGGTAGTACAGTATGGACATTTTAACAATATTTGTTCTTCTAATCCATGGACAGGAGATCTCTTCCCATTCGTTTGTGTCATCTTCACTTTATTTCATCAAGGTTTTATAGCTTTCAGAGTGCACGTTTTTCACCTCACAGGCATTTTACTATTTTATTATTTTATTGTAAATGGGATTGTTTTCTTAATTTCTCTTTCCGTTACTTCCTTATTAGAGTATAGAAATGCAATGGATTTCTCTATATTGATTTTGTATCTTGTGACCTTCCCAAGTTCATTTGTCAGTTCTAGTAGATTTTTGGTGGAGTCTTTAGGGTTTTCTATATACAGTATCATGTCATCAGCAAATAGCGACAGTTTTACTTCTTGCTTACCAATTTGGATGCCCTTTTTTCTTTGTCTTGTCTGATTGCTGTGGTGAGGACTTCCAGCACTATACTGAATAAAAGGGTGGGAGAGGACATCCTTGTCTTGTTCCTGATCTTAGGGGGAAAGCTCTCAGTTTTCCCCATTACGTATGATGTTTGCTGTGAGTTTTTCATATATGGCTAATAAGTTGAGGTAGGTTCCCTCCATACCTACTTTGTTGAGGGTTTTTATCATGAATGGATGTGGTACTTGGTCAAGAACGCTTTTTCCGCATCTATTGAAATGATCATGCGGTTTTTATCCTTTCTTGTGTTGATGTGATGTATCACGTTGATTGATTTGCGAATATTGAACCACCCTTGCATCCCGGGAATAAATCCCATTTGATCGTGGTGAAGGATTTTTTTATTGTATTGTTGGATTTGGTTTGCTATATTTTGTTGAGGATGTTTTTGCATCTGTGTTCATCAGAGATATCGGCCTGTAGTTCTCCTTTCTTGTGGTGTCCTTATCTGGTTTTGGTGTCAGTGTAATGCTGCCCTCATAGAATGAATTTGGAAGTTTTCCTTCCTCTTGTATTTTTTGGAACAGTTTGAGAAGAATAGGTATTATCTCTTCTTTAAATGTTTGGTAGAATTCACCCAGAATGGGTGGAGAGTGTTGTGCTCTGCTGGGTCCCACAGGTGTCCATCTGTCTAGTCTAGGAGGCTAGGGAGGGAAATGGCGCCTGCCAGCTCTTTTGTTCTTGGAGCGGTCTCCCAAAGATCCCTGTCCCTCCCACACAGGGTCTGAGATTAGTAAATAAAATCTTCCCATACAGCCCAGGCGATTTTCAAATTTTCAAACTGCTGTCCGTATGCTGTATCTTAGTGAAGCTGCTTGTTGTGCTGTGTCTTCAAGGGCGGGAACTCAGTTTCCTCCCACCCTCCCAGCTCTCCCAGAGACAAGCCTGCTGACTTGTCCCAGGTGTTAAGCCCCACTGACTGTAAGAACTCACGAAGTTAGGCCCTGTGGTTTTCAAAGCCAAATGTTATGGAGATTCATTTTCCCAGGGTGAGTCCCCCATGCCTGGGGTGGCTGGTGTTGGTGTCTGCTCCTCTTTCCTCTCCACATCTGCAGCCTCCTTCCCTCCTGTGGACAGCCCCACAGGTCTGTTTGGCTCCAGACTGTGTCTCCCCCCTTCCTCTGCCCTCCTCTTCGAGGTGGCGTTTTCTCTACCTTCAGCTGTTGAGAGTCTGTTCTGCCAGTCTTTGGGTCATTTTCTGGGTTTTTTTACACTGATGTGGGTGTTTCCTAGTTGTATCTTTGGGACAAGGTGAGCTTAGGATCCTCCTGCTCTGTCATTTCCTCCTCCTATTTGGCCATCTTCAACAAAAAGTAATCATTGAATCCATTGGTGGGTATGGAGGGTTCATTGCGCCATTTTTCTAAGTATATGTGTGACATTTGTAACAATAGGGATGTTTAGTGGAATTGAGTTAAATTTTACTTTATTGTTGTTTATTTATTTATTCATGTTTTTATGTATTTATTTATTTTTTGTGGGCTGCAAAACAAGGTTTGTTGAGCATTAGTGAAGCGATAGTACAATGCTACTGAGGAGGGAGGGGACCTGACAGGTTTGCCTGGAATTGAGTTAAATTTTAAATAATATTTTTTTAGTCTTACTGTATTTGTTTTTTTTTAAGATTTTATTTATTTATTTGACAGAACGAGAGACAGAGAGAGAGGGAACACAAGCAGGGGGAGTGGCAGAGGGAGAAGCAGGCTTCTTGCCAAGCAGGGAGCCCGACTCTGGGCTCTATCCCAGGATCCTGGGACCATGACCTGAGCCGAAGGCAGATGCTTAATGACTGAGCCACCCAGGCGCCCCTTGCTGTATTTGTTTTTATAATTCTTTTTATTTACGGCATTAATGATGGTTTTCCTTTCTGAGTCATAATATTTCCTTTCAATATAAAAATTTTTTTCAAATAAAAAGAGTCAACTTAAAAAATCTTAAATACATAACATAATGTTGCAGTAGACTTACTAGTGGACATAGTAAAAGTCATGAAGGTAGAAGGCAAATACCTAAACTTTCAGAAATATTGCCTTATAGAGTATTTCTGACATTTATATAAGGCATATTAATTTTCATTCAATATGTCCTCAAATTTTATTTTATTTATTTTTTATTTATTTTTCTAAACTGACCACTTTATTTTTATTTTTATTATGTTATATTAGTCACCATACAGTACTTCATTAGTTTTTGATGTAGTGTTCCATGATTCATTGTTTGCATATAACACCCAGTGCTCCTTGCAATACTTGCCCTCCTTAATACCCATCAGGTTAACCCATCCCCCCACCCCCTCCCCTCTGATACCCTTGGTTTGTTTCCCAGAGTCCATAGTCTCTCATGGTTCATCTCCCCCTCTGATTTCCCCCCTTTATTTTTCCCTTCCTTTTCCTAATGTCCTCCATGCTTTTCCTTATGTTCCACATATAAGTGAAACCATATGATAATTGTCTTTCTCTGACTGACATTTCACATAGCATAATCCCCTCCAGTTCCAACCATGTCAGTGCAAATGGTGGGTATTCATCCTTTCTGATGGCTGAGTAATATTCCATTGTTTATATGAACCACATCTTCTTTATCCATTCATCTGTTGAAGGGCATCTTGGCTCCTTCCACAGTTTGGCTATTGTGGACGTTGCTGCTATGAACACGGGGGTGCATGTGCCCCTTCTTTTCA